TGATATTGAGTAAAGTAAACAATAACAATGGAAGTAAGTTCGTTCTTAACACTGATGACTATACTCACCTATTTTGTTGTTGTTGATAATCTATCTTATTTATTATGTTTAGTACGACCTTCTTATCTTTATTTCAATACATCTGACTGTCTCTTTCTCTTTATTTATCATTCTTTGTTTTCTCCTTGTTGTCTAAACTCTTTAATTCAGTATTGATTAATTTCGTAATTCGATCTTAATTCCTTTCTATAGATCATATGATAAAGACTGAAATAATGAATAAATAAATGGATGTATATGAGTGTTTTGTTTTGTGTGTGAAATATCGAAAAAGAAATATATTTTATTTTATTCCGATAAAATTACTTTCAATTGGTTGTTACCACTTTTTATTTCTCCCAACAATTTCTTATAATCAAATAAAGATTTTTACTAAGTTTATGTTTATATCAAAGAATCAACTTATAATCAATTATCAGTTTAGTTGTGGAGATTTTTAAGTTTTTGATTAAGATCATGAACTGATTAATGTTAGACCACTATTGAAAACCTGGAAGCACTGGAAAAGAAAATGTACAAATCTTAGAGTACATACATTTAACCGGCAAATAAGATAAATTCTGATATAAACTACAATAGTTGATCTATATTAATTGAGTTGATTAGTTACCTCGTTTATACTGACTGGTTGTAAGGGAGAAAGAAATTGACTATTTAATGATAATAATTATTAGTTTAACCTAATTTATCATTGTAAATTATCCTAATGATTTATTCAAACTAACATGGGTAGACTAAGGGTCTCTAGTCGGTGTATAGATCAATAGAACATATTTAGAGATCCAGTAAAAACAAAGAATTCTATTAGATAAATCTCTTTAACTCTGAATGATAGATTAAATGTAATTTACTGGTCGACTAATATTGTTATTCTATTAGAGTACACATTAGAATTGTGTTTTACTAGTTCAAATATTAATTAGCTGGACAAAATAAGTTATAGAATAATACTTATATTGACACTCTTGTACTTCAAAAGACATTTCAATATTCAATAATTATACTTTCAAGTTTTCAAGGTAGAATACTGTATCTTGATAGCATAATCCGTTAAGCACTACATACAATTTTTGACTTGCTTACTTCATTTTAAAAGTTATCGATTTTAATTATTTATTTGTAATAATTTTTCTAAATAAATTTCCTTTTCTGTTGAACTTGGAAAGAAAACTTACTTAACATGTCTAAGCTACTCTACATTTTACACCGAGATAATCAATAAGTTTCAACTAACTACTTTCACAAAAATGTTTTCCAATGAAAAATAGTACTTAATACCATAAATATTAGAATAGACGAATTGTGGTTAGTAGTGAAATCTTGAGTTCAAGTTTTGTCCCATTCGAGCATCGTCAGCCGGATGTCTGTATAGTTACACTGAGACTTGAACCAAGTACTTTTCTCTTCAAATAACCATTGTGTTATCCATTGAGTTTATGAGACCAAATAGGCATTAACTTGCTTAACTTGTTTACTAGTAAGGGTTTAAATTATCCCAATGTTGATATTCAGGACTGAATTCCGGTCAGTCTTTGTTAGCGTACATTTATCCTGTGCAGATTGTTCTATGTTTTAAATGTAATATAGATGAATTATGGTTAGTAGTGGAATTTTAAACCTTTCGTAGACAATAATGTTGTTTTTTGACTTGATGTAAAAGTGTAGTGATTGAGGTTCTTTCTAGACAATTGATAAAATCACTTATCAATAGGGACAAAATTTAGTTTTAGCGATAAAAGAAGGAAAGTAGTGAAATAAACGAGATAAATCAATCGTGTCTGTTTTTGCAAAAATAAATTTATTGTAAACAAAAAATGAGAGGTGGAGTAGGGAGAAAAAGAAAACGTACTTTAATTTTAAAATGTTATCTTTTATATATCTTAGTTGAACTAAACTGTTTTCACTTTTTATAGGCAAAATTGTAAAATTCATCTTCAACTTGTTATTTGATAATCAACTAAGATTCACTTTCTCTCATTCTTACCATGAATGATGCTGTTGATACGCTATTTTCATTTTTTTAGTTATTTTGGAAATAAAAAGAACGGATCACAGGTTATAGTTACTTTATTCTTTCCCCTTTAGTGAGAATTTAGTTTAAAAATAAAAACTATCAATCTATGAATAGAAAGTGAAATCTATTTATTAAGCTTAGAATAAAAGACATATTGAATAATCAGCAAAGAATAAATTAGCAAAAATAACCCTGGATACAATCCTGATTATTATCTATGATATATATTCTTATATTTCATTTTTTTATCTTTAATAAGGCTAGAAGAGAAATTCACATTAGTAATGTTTACTTGAATCCTTTCATGGTAGTTTAGGACTGTAATTGATCAGTCTCTTGTCGGTATATGTGCATATTGTACGTATTGCCTCAATATTGCCTTAATTCACAAGTATTATAAACAAAGATAGATTAGAGGATAACGAGTAAAAAACATCAACTACCATTGATTATATCGATGACATCATCTATAGTAAGAATGCAAGTTTTTGAAAAAAATATTGAAGTGATAAACAAATCCTACTTTTCATTTTACAGTTTCAAACATAGAATAGATCTCATTGTTTTTTTTTTTTTTTGAATGAATCTATTTTTGTTTTTCTTAACTAAGATTTGATTATTTTATTATCATTAAGGCTAACATCAAATTTGCGATTTCATGTATGTGAACATTTTGATTGGCTATTGAATTTAGCAAATGATTATATGTACAAACAATGTATATATTACAGAGATAGATCAGGAGTTGTAGTTGTTTTTTTTGTCCCAATTTCGTTATAGTTTAATTTAATCACAGTTCTAATCTCTCTTTTCAAATGTTCTTAAAGTATAATTCATATTCTTGTTTGTTCAATTTTTGTGTTTCTTTTCTTGAGATATATTTTCTGTTATGATTTTTACGCATATACTTTGAGTGCCCCTATGCATGCATCATGCACACGCATGCATACACACACATACATACAAAAATACATATATACATACATGCGTAAAATGCATATTCACGTGTATAACCATTTTCAGATTCTCGATTTTAATCTTCTCACATCTGATTTACTCATATCAGATCATTATGACACAAACAAATATAAAATTCGCTTTAGTTTTCTTATTCACTTGAAATGATTTATCACAGATATTGTTGTTATTGGTTTATTCATTTCTCTTATTTATTTTTATTCTTGCCAAATTTTCCCTTCTTTCTTTTAGAAAATATCAAACCAAAATTTAATTTTAATTATTAATTGAAAGTTGAAAAAAAAAATTAAAGCCATTAACTTTCGTGTTCTTAGATCTAAATTTTCTTATGTTGTGTAATATTTTTCTCACTGAATTTTTACGAAATAATAATACTTTCCATTTTATAGAGTTAGGAAAAATAACTAAACAGTAAGTAAATTTAAAAGGAATAAATGAATTTTTTTCAAGATTATCGTCAAGAAAGAATAACATTAGACCATTATTAAAAACCGAAAACCTAGAAGCACTGGACGGCCATTTCATTCCAGTATGAGACTATTCATCAGTGCGCATCCACAATCTCATACACGGAACTCGAATCCACGACCTTTGATCTCACACGCAAAGATTTAACATCTAAACCACTAAGCCTGTGTTCAGTGATGTTAATGTCTAACTTAAACTAATTCACGATATTGCACGACCAGTCTTCATTGTCTTCAGTGAGTAACTGCCTCACATCCGACACAAATTGGACTCCACTGATTAAAGCTTCTCAGTAGAACTCCAGGAAATCCATCATGAGGCCAATTAATAGTGAGCACATGATGATTATTGTCAGAATGTGGGTTTGTGGTCTAACGTTGATCCATTCATGATCTCAATCAAAATCTAACAATTACCACAACTCTATACTGATAAACAGATTTGTTATAAAGCCGAATTTCCGTTCAATTAAATAATGAATTCAATAATTACTAGACATGAATTATAATGTTCAATCAAAACATCAAATTAATATTGAATTTCGTTTGATTTTAGTTAAATTCTGCATAATAAGATCTAAAAGTAGCTAATATTGAAGTGAACGAAGACGTAGTGAGAGTAAACAATTTATTATCGGATGCAAAATTACAGTTCTATAGTAAAATATGAGAACCATACATTAAATACTTCACTTGCAAATCGTCTATCAATTTTTCTTGATGATTCTTTCAATTCTTGATTCATTCCTATTTTCCCTTCTATTCTCTTCAATTCGATCTTCTCAACCTTCTTATGAACAAAAACTAGTGGAGCACAAAAATGGGTTAGTTACAGTCATATTTAACAATTCAGGAAATAATATCATTAGAATTCTTCTTTATTTGATGACCTGTTAACAGAGATTTAATGATGATTTATATAGTGTCAATTTGTGATAAGAAATCTATTTTAAATCAAATTCTGTCAACCTTGAGATGTTCAAACAGACTAAAAATGAACCTTTTTAACTTGTGTTTGGTTGACACTTGAAACCTTCCTGTCATATCGAAATTATGAACATATTTGAGAAAGAAATATAACTCATTTATCATGTACAGGTTTATGTATTTTGATTTCAATCATCATTTGAGTGCATAGTCATATTGAAATTTTCAAAGCACATTTTAAAATTGATGCATGCTGTTTGAAAATGCATTGATAAATACATGGTGACTCTACTTCACTTTAGAAGACAGAAAGAGAAAATAAGAACGGATAAAATTCAAAATTCAAAAATTATTTGAATTTTTCTATGGAAAATATTTTTAGAAATTGTTTTATTTCATTTGATTCTAATGATTTTTGAATTGCATCTTTAAAAAAATTAACTATTTGTGTTCTTTTTTCCTTTTACATTTTATACATTTCATCACTGCACCAATTATTAAACTCTCCTGGATTCAATCCTACTTTTTCTCATTATATTCGTTATTCTGAACAGATGGCTTCTTCAAATCGATCAATGTTTACTTCTGAACAAGAATTAAATTTATTAGTAAGTGTTTATTTCCGAAAAACAATTATTTTAGTTGTTTGTTTATTTGTTGTTGTTTTTTTCATCTTTTTTTAGGTTATTTTATTTTTCTCAAATGATTATTCTTTGAATCTTCAGTTGTTTCTTGTTTTCTGTTTGAGTTTGTTTGTATACTTGTTTTCTAAACAAAAAAGGTTATGTTATTTTCTCAATTTTTATATACAAAATAACTACTATTTACTTTTTTATTTGGTAATGAATTAGATAAGATTGTTTTTTTTGTATTATCTACTGATATGTAAGTACATGTTTCGTGTTTGTACGTGGACAATATGTGTAATGAAATGAAAATATAACATTCAGTAAATAACCACTGTCCTTACCCAAAATTCCATAGTAATAAAATATTTTCAAGTTTTAGCAAATTAAAAAAATTGATTTTTTTTAACAAATCTCAAATTTGAACACTGAAACTGTTTTGTTTGACTACAATTAGTTCATAATAGTTATAATACTATTGAAGGTGGGGTATTTATATTAAAGATAATGACATTAATTTGTATGTGCCTTCAGTTGATCAGTTTGAAACCGGATAAAATGTAGTAATTTTAATTTGATAAGTAGTTTATAATCAAAGATTTAAATTGTTTTCAATTCGAATTTTCATTTTTAGTATGGTCATAAGCCATTAATCAATTGTAATTTCTATAGTTGAGGTCATGAGTCAATTGAAGCTAGACCACCATGGAAAACCTGGAGACACTGGACGGTCGTTTCGTCATATTGTGGGACTCCTCAGCAGTGCTCACTCACGATCCCGCCTCGTGAGATTCGAACTCATGACCTATCGGTCTCGCGAGCGAATAATTAATGTCAATCAGTAATTGTATTCTAAGTTTTAATACGATTTCATAAAATACTAGTCATTTGGAACTGATTAAATTAATTTTTATAAATTTCATAATTTTGAACATAGTCTGGTAAGTTTAAACAAAATTGCTCATTAAGTTTATCATTTGTAATGCATATTTAACTATAGGAGACACCATTCACTAAATGTCGAATATTGTTTCTTTAAGAAATGGGAAGAAGTACTTTGTTAATTATTTAATAAGTTAACTTTTATAGAAAACAAAAAAAAACACGCTATTATCATTGTCTCTTTTAGATTATTCAAGCGATTCATGTGCTTCGGTTTCATTTACTGGAAATTGAGAAGGTAAGTGTGATTGATTTTTAAAAGAGGTTAATATCCATATGAATTAGTTTTATTATACTATTTGAGTATGATCTTTGATAATACTTTTCAGAAAGTAATTAACAGACTTAAATCCTCAGGTTCAAAATAAGAATTAAACGATTGTTTATGGTTAATAATAAATGAAGTTTGAAGCTTTATTAAATATAACAGCTGACTAATTTTAATATTTAAGTGATGAATCGTAGAACCACTATTTACAATAAATGAATAACGATAATATCTGGGATACAACAGATGTATGCGTCTAGAATTCAGCTGTTTAACAGAATATGCGCTCTGTTGGTGAGAAGATCGAAATCATATTCTTTTGATCACATAAGTTTCATAAACAAGACCATAAGAACTAAGTATACTGTACTTAGTGTATTTTTCACTTAATAAAAAAGTTGCTTCCGTTAATTTTAATAAATATTCAGTGAACCATTAATGAGTGTAATTCGTCTTAGCGCTAATGAATAGTATCTAATATGGATCTAACTCTGAAGAATCGCATCAAAATAAACTTACATTTAAACTAAAAGTCAGACGTTTTGAGATTTTTTGAATACTTGATTTATACACATAGTCTAGAAGTCAATATAATGAGTTTTCCTTCATTCATAACGACATAAAGTAAATTTTTATTTTATTTAAATGCCATTAAACCAATAGTAAAGATTTGGCTATCATATAACATACCTCAAGGTATGTTATATTGTAACATAAAACTTTTTAAGCTACATTTCTATTATTCCATATTGAATCGTAAGATAATAGGACTCATACTAATTGTAATTTTTGAAAATATGGGTACTTAAATTGATGAACAGATGATGCTATTAGAAAATTTGTATATCCATTGATAATACACAATTCAATTAATACTAATTTCATTCTTATATTTTGATAATAATGTATAATCGGTGAATGATTTATTAGACAATATCAAGATTAGGTTTTCGTTAATAAGCTATCAAAATTAATGGCAAATTAAACTATGAATAGGCTAATACATTATTCATAATAATAAAAATAGTAAGACTGATAATAACACAAGGAATAACATTATCTATTTTCTACATAAGTAAATCTATTATTTGCAGGCATATGCAGTGATAACATTCATATACAAACATACAAACTACTAGATAAAGGAAGTATTTCATCTTAGTACTAAGGAGTTTACACTTACTGGTTTATACACACGTTCAATTTCGTAGTATAGCAAAACATCAAGTTTGCAGTATAATAATAATATAATATATAATATAAAAATAATAATAATAATGGTAATGGTAATAATAATCGTTTCATTAGTATTGTATTTTTCCTTTCCAATAAACACAAGGATTTGTCGATGTTTATTCTTCTAATATTATCACTAGTTTGAATCATTATTAGTAACAGTATAGTTTTCTCTTTCATATGCTTCATTCTCACTTTTCTGTTGAACGCTTCCACCTTCTTGTATTTTTTGCCTGTCCTTTTCTCTCTCTCGTCAATTGTTTTCTTTTCCTTCTGTATTCAACTTGTGATGTTGTTTCCTTCTTTCTATTCCAGCACATTTTCTTTTCTTCCCCCTTTACTTTAATCTTTTTCTGCTCTTCTATCTTTCCATATATATTTCTGCCTATCTCTACCGCTTCTCACCAATAAACTATGAATACGAGTTAGAAAGTTTATAAATATAGAGAAATAAACTCTGATACTATTGAATGATTGAACGAATAGATGAATTAATGAATAATAAATGATTAATTTCTTTTGACATTCTCCTTTTCGATATTATAAAAATAAAAAAAACATATCAAGTAGAAATCAAACGAGTATATATATATATATATATATATATATATATATATATATATATATATATATATATATAATCTGTGCATCAAAGTTTGTCTCTGTACGTGTGTCTAACGTAACCACTTCTCCTAATCTTTACTAATCATTTGTAATTCATAACACTGACAGTTTTCTACAACTGAAAATGACAGTAATACATATTACCTTGATAGTTGATTGTAAATAATTAAATTGGAAATCGATTTGGTTGAAAAAAATGTAACATATAGAGTACGAAATTTACTCACAATGCTTCTTATTTATGCTTAGCAATATCTCATTAACTATTCAAAAAATCTTTAAAAAAATTAACGGTATTTTAACTTCAAACCTTTAGTACTACCGGTTTGAAGGTAAAATATACCTTAGAAACTGTAAAGTTTATGGAATTATGTTTGAAATGAGAAAGTTATCATTGGAATATTTCGAATTAAAGAAGAAACGACTATTCATTTGATTTGTGTGTGTGTATGTCTTTTTACTTCACAACTTTGCCACGTTTGTGATATGCAATAATTACGTGAAAAAAATGCACAGAAATACTTCATATTATAAATACAAATAAATCATATATCGTAGAAATTAAAAGTAAAGTATTTAGTAAACCATACAAGAAAACAATTGAAAATAAGTAATTTATATTTTTTTCTTTCGTTCCCAAACTAACATTGTCATTACGGTCAATACCTGGTATAGTGTGATTAAGGATAATAAGCAAATATTAGAGCGTTACAAAGTTAAGACAATTCACTTGCCCAATCATATTCCAGTTCTTAAATGTTTCATTGAAGTAGCAAATCGATCAAAACTGGACAATCATTGGAAACCTGGAAGCATTGGAAGACCGTCTCATCCTAGTATGGTAATGTTCAGCAGCGTGCATCCACGGTTGCACTAACAGAAGCCGAGCCCAGGACCTTCGGTCTTGCTCGAGAACGATCAACCTGTAGGCCACTGAGCCGGAATCCGACAGTGTTAATGTTTAACCCCAATTAATTTACAGCATTAAACAACCATCTTCCATTGTCTTTAATGAGTAACTGCTTCACACTCGACTCAGATTAGCTCCACAGTTCACGGCTTCGCACTCGAACTCTGAGAATTTTTTTTGAAGCTAGTCACTAGTGAGCACATGATAATTTTTAGTATGTGGTTGTGGAGATTGATGAGTTTAACTGAAATCAGGAACCGATATATAAGATCTATTTAATATAACATTTATTCATATACAATTGAAATAACATTAGTTTTGATTATTCTTTAAATGCGTTAGGTGACACTAGGTTAAGAACCACTATAATGATTACAAATGTCATGAAATTTGCGAAACGAGAACGCGGTTTGAATAATTTGAAAGAATCTACAACAAAAATCCCATAATTGTCTGTTAACAGTAGTATTTTCAATAATATAACAACTATATCATCAAAATTGAAATTTTATTAGATTAGTTCACAATATCAGGTCCCTCTTTAAGTAACAGAGAAATAATCGTACTTGTATATTAGTGGGATAAATACTTTTCCATTCAGCAATGAGCTATTTTAGCTGCTCTTTCAATTGATGTTTAAAATAAATTGGTTTAATGTTAAATTTCTCGATTAGTTTTATGTCTTCAGTAAAGTTTTGGTTAGTATTATTTTCTCAAACAATATATTGTCAGTAGTTTATAATTGTCACTACACATTTTCAGTGAAACCACGTTTCAACGGTTGATTTATCCTGTTTTCAATCAGTTTCATTATCAATTGCATCTTCAGTATATGTATTTTAGTAAGACAGTAGTATTCTTGTCTCTTTTTTACAACATGTGACGCTTCAAGTGTGATGCACAGGGCAGAATATATTTACTAGGTTACTTAAGTATTTAAAAGTATTTATATGTGCAGAACTATCAAAACAAGCTATGCATTATTATACTATACTGGTTTATATTATCATATAATCATTCAGCTAAAGCACGTGTGATCTCAGTTTCAGAGCTACGAAGAGATATGAAATCCTTTGAAACATATTCATTTAAGTAGATCCAGTAGGACTTAGCCATAATGTTTTATGTGTCAAAACAATCCCTCTATCTAGCAGAGATTAAACTTACTGAAATGATCTATAGACTACTTGATGATTATCCAAATCATATCAGCATTTTGGTATGAATGACATGTTATTGTATAAGTAAATATGGCACTACACAGGATGTTTGATTTTTGACATATAGTTATGTTTTCCTTCAGTAAATTTTACATTTACAGTCTTTTAATAACCAATCGATTACAGCCTCTCCTGCTTCTCGTGGTTGGTATTCTTTTATACATGCTTACTGTGTATTCGGTGATTAGTACCATAACTAACTGAAACTGTTCCAACGACATTGAAGATTAAATCTTTTATGTCACGTTTCGCTAATCACTTTCATCTTTAAGTTAAATAAGGCTATCGAACCCTAGTTTTCCGTGACACTTGGAAACTAGTAATAAAATGATTACCGAAAATCATTGCATTTTTCTTGAAATTAAATGAGCTTACTCGAGAGAAATTTCTCAAGTGTATTGGTGAGAAGTGCAATAATAAAACAGAACAGTCACTCACTAGTTTCTGAATCTTATCGACTGACAAAATAAATGAAAACATAGCATATTTTGTAGTATAATCCTTCCAGAATATTAAGTCCTTTATTCTTCAAATTAAAATGAGTTTCACATTGGGTTTTTAACAACTTCGCATTTTGGAATGATCCTGTTAGTCCCGTCTCAGTTATGCGAATATTTACCGTGATTTCACATAATACTTTCTCCCATATCATTGATGTTTATGTATCATATCACACTTAAAGATTTGATTTTGGTTATTTCGTTCGTGTCTATACGTTATGTCGTAAACCAGGTAGATTGTGAATATTTATCTATTATATTTGGTGGTATTTAGTTGGATGATGGAATCTATCTTTTCTACAAATATTTGTCTGTGGGTTTTACTTTTTCTTTCTTTCCTATAACAGCTGTTTTCATTCTTTGTATTGTGTCGCTGGACTCTAATACCAGTATGTATTAATATGTGCATATATGACTTTCCTAATATACATTTTAACACGCCAAGTATACACGGCGACATAGCACCCCGTTGTGTGTTTATTTCTAAACGACTTTGCTTATTTCAGTTCGCATAAAATATACACAATATGACAGGTTGACAGCTTTTCGTAAAAAAAAAAAATAGAATAACAAATATGAATAAAGAAAAAAATAAAATTGATATTGGTTATTTTAAATGTTTCAGGGGAAAGGTGATGGTTGTGTGATGATATGGCATTAGTGAACTAAAAGAAATCTTCCACCATCTAACCAACTAACTAACTAACAAAATGTCCACAAGGCCTGGCATTTTTAATAATAACAAAAAAGCGCAGAGGATTACTGTATCTTTTCATTCAGTTACTATTTGGAAGAGGAAGGAGAGAAAAACAAAATCTGTAAATAGACCATTGATACTATCGATATTATGACTACATAGTTTTATCGTTAGTACCACTACTACTACAACTACAAATACTAATAGTAACCAGAATAATCATTACAATATCCTGTTAGTAATCAGCGAAATGATATACATATCGTATTTATCTAAACAAAGTAAAAGATATCTAAAACATTTCCATACAAAAATTCCACTAATGTGTTACTTAGTTAACCTTTGGAATACTGCACATATTTACAAGTAATTTTTTAGAAGTATGAGTGGGTGTGATGGAGCTAAAGAATTTTTGGTTAGGTTTGGTTTATCTAAGGTAAAGTGAGAAGCTGTCAAACTTACCTCTTTTTTTCAACATTTTCTATGTTTCATGCATAAAAGGTCTTTAATTTTAGTTAACTACATATGACGCACACATATATATGTACATGAATACATGTAGTATAATGATATTCATATAACTTACACTACTCGAATAAATGATGAAATGGCATAATTACAATCAACACATAGATGAGATAGTAACCATGTTGTTTTACTGAAATTTAGCAAATAAAACAATATCAAAATAAGAATTAAAAAAGAACCAGAAACAGGAAAAAACATTTTGAAAAAAGATGAATATTATGATGATCTTCAACATTTTGTATAATATGAGATGGATAGATAGGTAAAGAGAGAGTGTGTGTAAGAGAGATAGACAACTGGATGAATTAGTGAAGGAATAAATGATGATAAATGTTAATTCAAAGAAAAAAATGTTGATGTTATTTTTTTCCAATTTTTTGGTGTAGAACTAAATATGATAAAACAAAAGCACAGCATGACAATACACGTGTATATGATATGTATAGTAATTAACTATCTGACGAAAGAAATCAACAAAATGAAAATGAAATCACGCCCGAAACAAAGAGAGGGAGAAAAAGGAATGAAAATTAGTAATGAGAAATGAAATGACAAGAGATAAATTAGTCTACATATAATTTTAACAGAATCAGAAGTGGTAGTATTACTAATGTTAATTGAAGTTTTTAATTGTACTCATGACCAATCACGATATTTATATATGTTAATTCTGAATACGTTCACATTGTGTAGACAAGTTTGAGGTGGTCGAAATAAAGCGATCTGAATTTTCAATGGTTATTTTATTGATTTGTTTTGATTGTTCGAGTCTTCTAATTAATGTTTAGGTTCGAAATTAATCAGTCTCTTTGAGCATATGTACACCCTATGTGGATTGCCCCGGCATAACCATTAAGTCGCGAACATTATAAGCAGAGATAGATGGTACGTAACAATGGAATCGATAAAGAGCCTTTCATCCTGTTTGCAAAGCATCAGCTGCGCATACTTGCGTCCTAAAGTTAATGTTCACTCTGGGACATCATTGGGAAGATTCGAACAACCAATACAAATGTAATTACTGATCATCGTAAAAGTACTGGCTTAACTGACTCACAAAGTCTGCTTAAAATGTCGACAAATACCAACCATAGATTACTATCTAAACAGATTCATGGTTTCTTTTCTGAATTCGCTTATAAAATGTTAACATTACTTTGTATGTCCTTTTTGTATCTGATCTTGTAGGTAGGGTTTAAGTTATCCTAAACTGTTTATTATGAACATGTCCAGTGCAGCAGTCAGACAAACCGTAAGGAATATATATATATATATAACAAAGCAAGGAATCGATATAAAAAAATCACACATTACTGTACAACATTACTCGCTAAACGAACGGAAAATTGACCTAGAGTGTTTAGTAAACATGAAAACATTGTGAATAATTTTAGCCTGGAATCAGCCATAAAGTGAATACCTAATATCTTTTGTATTTGTAGTTTTACGAGACAATTTTACATTTTTAAATATAAGTTGGATGTTTCATCTAAGAGGGAGGAAAGAAACATTAAAAGTTCAGCTTTAATCATACTTTTATATGTCTAAAAAAAGTTATATATTCTGAATAAAAATATGCATTATATACTACTTTCTAGATAATCTTAGATAACGAATATCAACAAAAGCTTTTTGTTCAATTACATTTATGATAATGTCTAGAGTAATGTCAAAAGTGCCTCACTGGAAAAAAATTTTTCGAAAAAATATTTTTAGTAATTTACAATTTGAGCCACACAAAAATATATAAAAGTAATCCTATCGACTATTGTGAGTTTGTGATGATTGCAGTGCTTATAAATACCGGGTTATGGCTATAGAGATTATTGAGGTATAATTTAGATCATAAAACGATGAATGTTGAACCACCATTGAAAACCTGGAAGCACTGGGTGCTCGTTTCGTCCGAACATAAGACTCCTTAGTAGTATACATCCACGGTTCTACACTCGGGATTCAAACCCAGGACTTATAAATATACTTTTTGTTTAACAAATTTAAGAAAGGTTTGTTGACTTACCATTATTCAAATAATAGAGCTGCGCTGATCAGAATAGATTATTCAAAAGTTTAATAACACTTTTATGGACTTCCTAACTGATACGCTGCACAAAATGAGGTAATTGAATTAGTGACTTATTTTTATTGAAAATATTTATCAACTTTTGGTGAAACTTCGTCAGAAACAAAATTAAACATTTCCAGGATGTTTTTTTTCTGAACGAGAGATCTTTTATTCGTATATTTAGTGTCTGTTTAAATGATATGAAAAATTGAAGTGACTCTAATTTGTCTACAGAGACAAGAAAACTCAACTTCCTTCACGTGATGGCATAGTTATGTGAAGGATTAAATTACTAAGACCGTTAGTTGAATTCATCTAATTAGCCTGTTTATACAGATCATAAAGCATCATTCTAACTTCATATTGTTTACGATTGCCAGTTAAGTAAGTAATATACACAAGGAATTTTGAATTGTCTTTGTTTATTTTTTATTTTAACATCGACAAATTTACAAACTGGATCTTCGTATCACTTTTTTAAACTGCTTCAGTGTGCATTGACCGTACAGCAAATGTTGATATTCTTAACCTTTACACTTTTCCTTGTCTTGTTTTACAATTATGTAATCGAGCATTTAAAGGTACACTGGAACACCTGTTGAGCTGAATAAAAATGATTTTCGCAATATTTATTCCCTAAATGATTCTCGTCCTTTATGCTATGGTAGAGATTAGTTTGTATTAAAAAGCAATCTTTCTTATTAAGCTAAAAGTTTCTTCAGGAAGATTCTTCTCTATAGGTAAACAACATATCAGAGTAAGCATACTTATATGACTTGTCTGTTTAATAACAAAATACGATACACTTTCAAATCAGTTCATCGTGCAAAGGTAAAAAGCATAAGTGACCGTTTTTTATTACATATGTTTATTATATGAAGAAAAGACAAAATGATCAAATGTCTTATCTAAAAGAAGTCTATTTCTTTTATTTCTGTCCGCTCTTGCACGAATAATTTTTCACTAGGCGTTTGTTAAATTGTGTCTTAAGCATTTGTATAAATAATGAAATAAAGAGGTAGGTAATAATAATGAATGGAACTCTAGTAGGAAACAGATACAGAAACATATTATGTCGGTGTAAGAGTTGTGTAACATTGGAGCATATGTTCGCTATAAAGTGTTTATACATAACCATATAATCCATAAGGAATAAATATTAATAATCACTAGAATGTATTAGTCATACAAGTTTATTGAAGTCGAAAAACTAACATTCATACTTCAGCATAAAACATAATAATGTAAACTGTATCACACTATCGATTTCTTTAATTTACACATTTACAAGCCCAAATACTTCACAAAGGATAATGATTGTTTTATTACAAAGGTTATTTGATCACAAGGGTAATTGACTAAAAAAAATAAATGAATTGTAATACCCAGACAAAAACAAATGAAAAGTACTTATCTTTTATGGAATATATCAATAAGACACCAGGCATTCTTAGAGATTAATACGAAAACTGTTAAATACAGTTATTTACATTTTACTGGCTGACCAATTTAAGGGACTCGATTACTATCCAACTTTTAAGGTTATTTTATTCATCATACCTTGTTTTGGAATGCAATGTGAAGTAAGAAACACTTATTATTCATCCAGATAGGTTTTATCTGAGTCCAAGTGAAAAAGAGGAAGAATAAGCAATGATTTACAGATTGATCACAGTGTATAATGTCTAAAATAGCCATTAGTTAAGGAAATTCAATTTCCTACATAATCTGTACACAGAATTCGAGTGATAATCAAAACTCTTGACCTATCTAGTAATAAATAACTATAAAACTTGATGGATTCATATTTTTATTACTGAATACAATTGTTTCTTAATAATTCCTTTCATTCTGTTTTTCTCATTCTCTATTTTTTTAAAACTAGGTTCATGAATTATGCGATAGTTTTTGTTCACGTTATATTACATGTTTAAAAGGTAAAATGCCTTTGGATTTAGTCTGTGAAGATAGAGAATCTGCTGCTGATTCTACAGGTTCAGCAACAAGTCCATTTTTAAATCGTTCATCTACGCCAAATTTATTTACTGATCAAAATGAATCAATAACAAATAGTCAACAGAACAATTCTAATCTGTATAATAATAACAATAATAATAATAATGGCTCTGTACAAACGGGATCATTATTACTTTCAAATCATCTTCTTCAGTCATCATCATCTGCGTCGCTTACGCCAAATTCAATTCCTTATCTACAAGAATCTTGTTTATTTAATTCGGATTCATTAAATATTATGCAATCATTCAATCGTACTACTACTAATAATAATAGTGTATCAACTGTAGAAAATTTTAAAACTATTCTATCTAATGAATTTGAACATAATCAAACTATTAATTCTAAAAATATTAGTATCACTGCAGATTCGTCAAAATTAAACTTTGGTTTAAATGGATCCATGTCATCATCATCCACATCATCAATGGGTTCAACTTCACCTAATGCACAATTGGTAAGCTTTTTGTGAAAAAATTAGAATTGATGAAAATTTATTCACAAGCTGGATTTGTTTAAAAATCACTAAACATTATTAGAATGGGGGTTTGTGGAGAATGTAGTAATGTCCAACCCCAACCCCCCATTTTAATCATCATCATGTGCTCATAGATGATTGGCTTCAAGATGGATTTCCTGGAGTTCTAGTGAAAAGCTGTGACCAATGGAGTTCAATCTGTGTCGGATATGAGGCAGTTACTCACAGAAGACAATAAAGGCTGGTCGCGCAATATCGCGAATTGTTTTAAGTTAGACATTAACACAGTTGGGTGCCGGCTTAGTGGTTTAGGGGTTAAGCGTTCAGGCACGAGATCGAAGGGTTCGAGTTCCGCGTGTGGAATTGTGGATATGCATTGTTGAGTAGTCCCATACTAGAATAAAATGGCCGTCTAGTGCTCCCAGATTTTCAGTGATGGTCTAGCTTACATCGACTCATGAATTCAACTAAACATTAGACAATCGTCTCATTTTGACTTTACTAACAATCGTTAAATGATAACCTAAAATCTTTTGTAAAATTGGACTTTGAGCAATTGACATATTTAATAAAAAAATTATTGTTGTTCATCAGGCTGTAAATCAGAAATCCCTGTTCAATGTTTCTCAATATATTTATCTAATATTATTCAGTTTACCGTTGATGACACAAATTAAATAGATAACAATGCATTTGTGAAATTAATTTACCACAACTTGTTAATATAAAGGATTTTAAACGATGTTATCTAAGTTATTGATTTATTAAATAAAATAAAAACTATCTTCTTGAGAGAATAAAATATTTGTATTTTATTGGTAGTAGTGTAGTGAACAGAACACCAGTGGGGACAATCGAATGTAATTGACAACAAATTACAGAACTAGTTATTAAAATCTAACAACCATATATTAAATGCTCAATTCGCAAATTGTTCATCCATTGTCTCAAATGACTCAGAATCCCTTTGTTCTTGCATTTTCATACAAATTGCATTCTTTCTTCATTCTTTATTGTTCGATCTTCTCGTCGCTCTACTGCCAGACATTCTGTTCATGACTCACGTCATATACTGCATACATCTACATAAGTAGCATACACCACGGTAGTAGTAGTAGTTATAGTAGCTTACTTGACAGAAAAGAGATTACAAAAATAACTACAAATTTACAAAAATACATTAGTATCAAAAGGAGTTTTGTGGAGATTTTAGTAATTTCAATAGTTGAGATCATGAGTTAACTGAAACTAGATCATCATTACCAAGTTAATATTATAATCAATGTCTTTAATAAATAGTGATAAGTAAAACTACGATTTGATAACATTGGTTTGGAAGACAAAAAAACTAATTAATTTATGATAACAAATAAGCTTTTATATTATTCATTTATTACTAATCATTCAGTTTAATTTTTAATGATTCCCTTTTATTTATGATTCATGTAATAAAACAATATATGTATGAAGATATTCTAAATAAATATTGAACATAAAATATATGCATAAACTTTTTCTTATTTATTTAAAGTGTCTATGACAAGAGCAATTCATATCCAGGGTAATATATATATATATATATTTCAATAATATTCAAATCAACTAAATATCATGAATAGTTTATAGGGAATGAAAGTTTAATTAATAATTTCCCAAATTCTTCTAGAAATGACAAGAATAGATATAAGAAGATACTATATATATATATATATATATATATATATATATATATATATATATATATATATATATAAACAATTACAGTCCAAGTGACAATTGCATGTATACAAATTTAAGTGATTGTACATTCATGCATGCATAGTTATTTCTGTTGTATATATATGTGAATGTGATATGACATTTGACAGATATGACCAATGATCAATGATCGACTTCCAACAAAGTTATTTAAATGTAAATAAACAAAATAAGAGAATCGAAATTTCAGAATAAGTTAAATATAAATATTGTGTCAACACACTGTTTTTCATATAAATCTGTACTTTGTTTATTTATTTAGTAAAAGAGGGTAACAATCTAATCAAATATTACATTGTCATTAGCTATAAAACATTATATGCATGGACTGTGCATAAACTAAATCTGATCAGTTGAAAATCCATAGAGTTGGGGATATATTTTATGCTTTATTTATTAAAAGAAAGAATAGCTTTCGTCACAGCTTTAGTGTCATTTGAAATGAATAGGTTTTTATCATTTTCATTCCACGATTTCTCCAACGATACATCGTTCTTGTTATGTTCATTCAATTGATTTTATTATGACATGATGAAATTCACAAGTACTCCTAAATCCGTACGAATACTGGTGACATATAATAGTAAATCATGTAACAACTTATTTTACTTCCAGTATTTTACAATCAGATAAGTTCGTTTAAAGGCATAGACATTCTGGGTATTTTTTTAATTTCTCAAAGTGTAATAAATAACTGTTATTGTATAATCAACTTCTAAGTTAAGCCACTTTAAAGTTGCTTAATTTAATAATTTATCATTGATTTAATACATCGAAATTGATCTTAATGGTAACCACTTAGATTTAGTTTGTAAATTATTTGTATAATCAAACATTAAAATTAGACACGATATAGAATTTTAAAATTAAAGTCTATGTTGTAGATTCTGTATCTACTTTCTTCTTCTTTATGCTCCTGTGTTGTGTTTCACTTTTGTACTGGTCTATTCATTAGAAATCTTTTTCCTAAATACTTGGATTATAGAGTTATTAAAAAAAGTCAAGACGATTTAGAAAAGAAAATTTTCTTTTCGATGCTATCATTTTGTTAGGCTATAAAATTCTATTAAGAAACTATTTTCTTTTGAATTAATACTTATAAGATTACTTATCAGTACGATTGGACAGCTCAAGAACATAACATCGTCTAAAAGAATATATTCTTTGATGGATTTTTTCTTCTACATGGATTACTATTACTGTAATAATATGTACTGGGGTGTAACTAATTTCGAGAGGCGATTTCCAGAGTTTTAGTGACCACGTTTAATGTTAGGCAGACTGTGAACAGTAGCATTGGTCGTGAGATAGCGCAAATTACTTAAAGTTAAGTGCACAGATCCCTTAGTAATTATCACTACAATACAAGAAACAGTTAAGCTTATGATTGCATCACAGACTGACTTTATGAAGTATCCAACGAAGTGACTTTTCATTAAATGTAAGCCACATACACCGATATTATTCCATTTTCAAGTTGTAGATGTCGTCTCTATCAGTTCGAGACTATTTCAGGAAGTTCGATTTCTAATTGATCATTAATTTCTTATATACATAGTACGTCAGTGATGAATAGTCTGTTTAAGCTACCATAAAGAAATATGTACATACGAATTTCTCGTACTCACAAGACAGTTCAACAAATAAGCTGATTACATATAGGATCTTATAATTCAGCTTTGCTATTAGGGCGCTGACCATAGTCTTTGTATCAGCTGGTTGACTCTCATTGAAAATTCCACACTAGTTACTACTACATACTTTTCAATTGATATTATATTGAAATAATCTGATTAACTAGTCTACGCTAGGTACTATGCGAAAATTTTCGAAATATATGTAGAAAGTCATAAATTTTAGGTTTTATAATCTGCTAATCAATACAACTCGTTAATTTTTTAATTAGTTAGCTCCGTTTTTTTTCTTAATTTTCAAGTCAATTCATCTCAGTTAATTTAGAAAGAAAACCAATCAACTAGTTATTGTGATATATCATATTACTTTGTGTTTAAGAATTTAAAATCAAGCATGAATTACTCTTTTAATGATTTAGTCAATAGTTCTTGTGATGTGGTAGTAGTAGTAGGAGTAGGAGTAGCAATGAGAAGAGAGGATAATCAAAGAAATTGAAGAACAGCTAAAATCTTTGCAGAAGAATAAAAGAAAAGTGTAATGTGTCTTCCATGTTTATCCACTTGTGTGTTTCTATCTACATACATGGTTGTACGCATAAAACAACCTATAAGTGGATAGAATGACATGTCTACAAGGTAATGAATGATGAATTGGTCATTTGGCATGTGAGCATCAAAACATAAATCTATTTTTAAATTATCTTGATACTGAAACCTATGATGATGATAATGATTAGAACGACGATGATATTGCGCAGCAACTGACTTATTTAATTAGCCTAGTAACAACTTGTAAAATTTGAACATAAAAATATGTATGTATAATGTCACGGGGTTTAACCGAATTCTCTCTAGAAATTTGACATATTCGGATGACTGTTTTCAATTGCTTTTACTCTCTATAATATATACATATATGGAAACACTTTTGTAAATACATGCACCTACAAACACAACTACACACAAGGTAAAGAAAAATTGGGAAGAAAAATTGAATGAAAAAAACATCACCACCATCACAACATCAGACGACAACTGGGAAGATTTTCAAGCAATGTCATTCCGTGTGGTTTGATGAAACACACAAATTATTGAGATAGGTAAAAATTAAGGCAATTCGAAAGAAAAGAAACAACAAATAAATCCTATAAATAGTGAGGATAGAAGAGAAAGAAAAGGAGAGATTGAGAAATGATAGAAGAAGGTGGAGGTTGCTATTTTAAAATTTGAAAATAATTGAGAATATGAGAAAAAAAATTTTTTTTCGTTTGTTAGCGTTTTTTAATACATGAAATTATCTACAAAATTGCTGCTGGTTTATTTCTCTTCATTTAAAGTCTATTTATAATTTGTACATGGTATGCTTAGTTATAAATCAATTAGAGAAGAAGAAATGATACACTGAAATTACCGAATCAATTCGTCAGGATATACATGTGTATAAAAAGCCATTTAAGAAAAATGAAGATTAGGGATGTTTTGAATGTCTTGTTATTTGTCACTATATGGTTTACCGTAGTCTTAATTAATCAGGAAAAGAAGTAGGTTATGAAATGACGTACTACTGATGAAATTATAGATTAGCAC